CACTTCTTAACCCTAACAGAAACAACTTATTTACTGCTTTGGGCTGGAACTAGGAGATGGGGTTGAATGGCCACAACGCGTTTTCCTTTCTGGCTTCTGTAACCTAAAGAGAGCCTGTGGCCCTTTTCGTACAGAAAGAGGACTGCTGCCTTTCCCGAGTTCTTGATCTTCATACTGACCCAAAACCCCCTCTGGCTGAGAAGCAGTCGGACTATTTACAAACAAAGGCAAAAACAAAGCCCTCGGGATATTCAGGCCTCAAGTACCAAACACACAGGAGCCCTTTGGCAGAAGCTCTAAGTCACCCGCCCAGCTTTTCAAAGCCACAACACCCATGGCTCCGGATGTCTGGGGCAGGACACCCCTCCAAACCCCCACGGTCCCTAGCAAGCAACTTACAAAGTTTACTAAAGTGTTGAGAACACTGAAGTCACCGGTCAGTCCCAAACTCTCTTTGACCTGCAGGATGACCCTGGCTGCACGGACAGCATGGTGCAGGTGGTGGTACTCCTTGATCTGTTCCACTCGCTCCCTGACCCAATTGCTCGGGCCCTGTCTGTCCACAGTCCGCATGATCTCAAGTTCTGAAGCCAGGTCCTCATATTTATTCTCAAAGTCCTTGAAGTTGTCGTCGATCTCTGCAAGGGTGACCTCTCCTGACTTTAGATCTTGGTACAGTCTTATGAACTTTCTGTAAGAGGGAAAATACAAATAGTCATACACCTCTTCCATCAGAAGTGTCTGCCTTTCCGATTCTTCCGGCTCACTCAGAAACTCTGCAGCTTCCCGTTCCTCCTCAGGCACACTAAGAGGCTCTGCGGCTTCCCACCAGAAGATCTGGAAGATGTGGCTGTCTCTGAGCAGGTCGATCTTTTCAGCCATTTCTTGGAGCTGGGGGCTCAGGTTGTAATGCGTTGTCCTCTGTAAGATTGGGAAGGAGGGCAGTCTCACTGTCACAACTTCATCTAATCTTTTACTGCTGAGGTCTTGTGAGTGTCTTATTGCAAGCTCTCCAAAGTCCACTTTAGAAACCAAAAGAAAATGTCAGAAGTCAAAGCTCTAATAATCATTCCATTTTATTCCACTTTCCTAAGGTTTACTCTCCTCACTTCTCTGAGCGAATTCAAGAGCACACAGTTGCTAGGATTTCTTTCTCAGTAAGTGTTTACAGGTCGTTCCCTCCCCGTGTGGCCTGGTTCATCAATATTCATGATAAAGGAAGCATCATAACTTCTGGGTAAAGATGACGGTGTGAAAAAAATCCATCTATATATTCTGTTTCCCAGACCCCACTCAGATAACAGAATATAAATTGTATTTTAAAAGTCATGAACTAGTCAGGTGCAGCGGCTCAGGCCTGTAATCTCAGCATTTTGAGAGGCCAAGGCGGGCTGATCACTTAAGGTCAGGAGTTCGAGACCAGCCGGGCCAACAAGGCAAAACCCCCACTGCCACTAAAAGTACAAAAAGGCATGGTGGTGGGCGCCCATAATCCCAGCTAGTAGGGAGGCTGAGACACAAGAATCGCTTGAACCCAGGAAGCGGAGGTTGCAGTGAGCTGAGATTGTGCCACAACGGTCCAGCCTGGGCAACAGGGCAAGACTCAAAAAAAAAAAAACAAAAACAAAAGAAAAGATGTGGTCCAGTACACTGACTGTCACCGCGATGCTTCCTTCACCTCCACAGGTGGCTTATTTTCTAGAAAGCATAATGCAAAGGGGCGTCTGGATTGGAAGCCACAGATACATGGCAGGAAAAGGGCATTTCTAGACACATCCCCTTTCTCAAGAAGCTAACAGAAGACATGAACTATCCAATCTCAGGGGTAAGGAGGAGGGGGCATGAGGTACAGGAGACAGAAGGAGGTGGCAGAGAACCACGCTGAGAACAGGGGCATGGGAGGACTGCACACGGGATGCTGAGGCCCGCCAGCCCGCTTCTCCCTCTTGGCTCCCAGAAACCTGGCAGCCAGGCCCGCACTGTCCAGGCAGGAGACAGGTCAACTTCCAGGCAGAGCCACGCCACCCCATGGCAGCAGCCCGCAGAGGGCCAACCCACTTTTGAGGGCTTTCTCTTAATAAACACAGACAAATGAGGATTTCCAGACACAGGAGGAAAATCGACACAAATCAACCAGTGAAAGCAACCTGGAGGAAGGAGGAAATGATACAAGGAAAAGAAAAACCTCCAAAACAAAACTGCAAATAACCCAGAAGGTAAGATACTGCAACCAGGAACAAGAACAGGGTACAATTTAAAAACGGTCGTCCAGAGAAAAAGAATTCCTTTACGTTAAATAGATATATGAAAGCTGACATGAAAATTTTAGCAGAACGTTTGGAAGATCAAGGTCTGAATAAATCTCTCAAGAGCAGAGCAAAAAACAGAGATGGAAAACCAGAGAAAAATAATGATCAAAGTTAGATGACCACCCAGGTCCAGTATCCAATTAACCAGAATTCCAGCAAGAGGAAAAAAATTTAAACCATTCAAGACAATGTCCCAGAACTCACGGACTTTGATGTCTAGATTAGAAAGACCTACCTATTAACCCCCAACAGGGGTGACTGAAAATATTTTATTTTATTTTTTTGAGATAGGGTCCCACTCTGTTGCCCAGGATGGAGGGCAATGGTGTGATTTTGGCTCACTGCAGCCTCAACCTCCCAGGATCCAGTGATCCTCCTGCCTGAGCCTCCCGAGTAGTTGGGACCACAGGCATGCACCACTGTGTCTGGCTAATTTTTTTGTATTTTTTATAGAGATGTGGTCTTGCTATGTTGCCCAGGCTGCTCTCAAACTCTTTGGCTCAAGCAATCCTCCTGCCTTGGCCTCCCAAAATGCTGGGATTACAGGGGGAGCCAACATGCCCAGCCTCAATGGAAAATAGATCCAGACCGAGACACATTATTATTTCAGAATATGAGTAACAGAAAGATCTCAAGAGCTTCACGAAAGAGAAAACAGGTCACACACACAGGAAGGGTGCATAATGAGCAGTGCACTGGGCTTCTCCATGGCTCCGCTGTGGCAGCAACAACAGCGCAGCACGCTGAGACTTCAGAAGGAAAACTACTCTAGTCTGTCCTTCTAGACCTGGCCGGGCGGCTGACCCAGTAAGAGCACAGACATCTTTGGGCACACAGGGATTCGAGGGTTTGACGTCTCATATACCCTCTTTTCTCAGGAGGCTAGTGAGGGTGTGCTCTGCCAACAGAAGACGCCAGGTCTAACCCAGGCGAGAGGCAAAGCCTCCCTAGGAGGTGGAGGGAAACTCCAGCCTAGGGTTGGCAGGTTCCTTCTCAAAGGTCAAACGGATGATCTTCGAGGAAATCCAGACGCTCGCCACAGGTTGGGATTCAAACAGAAATGAATACAATGAAAACAGCATTTGATAGGATGTGTCATTCTCTGGAAAACAGAGTTTGTGCAAAAAATGTAAAAAGATCATGGTTTCTTTCGTGGCTCACTTGCGATCAGCATAAGTCCAGATGATTTAACCCTAAACAACGATCCGACCCAACTATGAGAAAACAGGGAGCAACAGGAGGTGAAGGGTGATGCACAGGTCACAGACCAGAAATGCGCGGCGCTGACCCGCATCTTCTGCAGCGGGTGTCGGCGGTTAACGCTGCCACCAGAAAAATCAAGGGGACATTGAGGCATGGCATTCGGAAATGTGGATACAAATACCAAAAGGAAGAATCTAAAAGAGGTGAAGGCAAAGCCCCAGCAAATGCAAATTTAAAAAAAATTTAAAGCCTTCTCTCCAAAATAAAGACCTGCTACCACCATCCCTTCTTCCTGCGTCCTGCTCTAACCCCTGGGGAGCCCTCAGTGCTGTTCGCGTCTTAGGAATACCACCTTGTACCAGGGGTTTCACAATCCCACACATCTTCAGGAGACTGTCAACAGATCTTGTCTCCTTCCTTAGAAATAACAGTTCATTGATTCTCCAGTCCAATACTTCATTCATAGCACGGTTTTCCTCCGGGGGTGAAACACTTTTTTCCTCTGGAAAACAGGAACAACAAAGTAACCCAGCACAGCAAACAAATGCCATTCTCCACAACACCGCTTTGAACACGCCCCGCCTTCCCTACCACCGGGGAGGGACTGGGGGGGGTTTGCGCTTAGCCACCTTTTCGAGATGGCCGTGATTTTATCACTTTCCCATGATGTTCTTGAGAATTACAAACCACCCCTATCATCTTACAAGCAAGAAGAGATACTCATTATCAAGGCTAAGAGGATCATCTCCTTTAAAAAAAACGCACACACAAACACAAACGCGTCTTCAAGCTACTTAATTCCTCAGGAGCCTGAAGTGCGAATCTGGACTTGATGCTTACTCAGTTGCCAGATGTCAAGAAACTGATCCTTGTGCTTCATAACCAGCTCCAGCTGTCCAACTAAAATCGTTCCATTGAGGAGACCATTGGCGACTTTCATGAACACAGTGTCAGCCGTAGCCATCAACTTCTTGCCTTCATCTGTAATATTTGCTATTATTTTCTCATCAGTTCCTGAGCAGATTAAGAACACAGTTAAAACAGTGGCCTCCCCACCTCCTGCCTCATTGACATTAACATGGGAATTCCAAATAACCTCCTGTTCTGCCCTCACCGCCTCAAACGCAGACAATGGCTGGTCAGTGTCTCCAGACGCGCCAGTCACTCTACCTCCTTCCGCTTTCCCCCATGAGGGTTAGATTCATCCCTAACAACTTCCTTGTCCCCCTTCAGTATATAGAATATATTTCTTTCCTGGCTCATTCATTCGTTTGCTCCTTCCTTCCTCCCTCCCTCCTTCCTTTTTCTTTTTTCCTTCCTTCCCTCCTTCCTTCCTTCCTTCCTTCCTTCCCTCCCTCCCTTCCCTCCTTCCCTCCCTTCCTCCCTCCCTCCCTTCCTTTTGAGACAGGGTTCCCTTCTCTCTCTCTCTTTCTTTCTTTTGGGACAGGGTCTTACTCTGTCACCCAGGCTTGAGTACAGGGGCAGAACCATAGCCCACTGTAACCTCAATGTCTGATTTTCCTGCCTCAGCCTCCTGAGTAGCTAGGAATACAGGTACATACCAACATGCCTGGCATATTTTTAAAATTTTTTGTAGGGTCTCACTTTGTTGCCCAAGTTGGTCTCAAATTCCTGGGCTCAAGAGATCCTCCCACTCTGGCCTCCCAAAGCATGGGGATTATACACATGAACCACCTCACCTGGCCCGAATACATTTTTTAAATAGAATACACAGAATCTTCTTTAAAAATTCCCCACCCCCGGGGGAAGAGTTCTCAAAAAAAAATTCCCCACCCTAGGAATACCTACAGCAGAAGAAATTGCACCAGGGACACAGACACACCTAGCAAAGTCTATCGAGATGGTCTCAAGGTGACATTTTCATAACAGATAGAAAGAGAGAAACAGCAACGTGATAACTTTATACTCTGCACATCTTCATCATCTTGCAAAAACTTGGAATTGATTTTATGATAAATTTAGATGGCAGAACTGTTATGCTTCATTTAGCCACGGAGGATTACTCTCCCAGTAATATTAGAGCCATACAGTATTAGAAGAAGATGAAGTTAGACACACACACAGTAGCTTTATGAATCATTGCAAAAACATGAATGGGTAAGCAAATTGCAGCACATCCATACAATAAAGTATTATTCAGTGGTAAAAGGAAGTGAGCTCTCAAGCCATCAAAAGACAAGGAGGAAACATAAATGCATATTACTAAGTGGGGGAAGCTGGTCTAAAGGCTACATGCGGTCAGATTACAACTGCAGGGCTGGGCGTGGTGGCTCGTGCCTGTAATCCCAGCACTAGGGGAGGCCAAGGCGATTGGATCATGAAGTCAGAAGTTCAAGACCAGCCTGGCCAAGATGGTGAAACCCCGTCTCTACTAAAAATACAAAAAATTAGCTGGGCATAGTGGCGTGCACCTGTAATCCCAGCTACTCAGGAGGCTGAGGCAGGAGAATTGCCTGAACCCAGGAGGCGGAGGTTGCGGTGAGCCGAGATCGCGCCATTGCACTCCAGCCTGGG